GACTCCCTCTTCTTTATGGCAACCCCTGAGATATTGGAACACTGCTATCACTTTTTTCACATTATGTTCACTATTTTTTTTCTTCACAAAATAGTGGGACATTTTTTTTTATTCAAAAGCTTTATGATGAAATGGTACGTAATCGAAAGCTGTACGGTCTACTTTTTTTTACTACTTAACACCCCCCCCCCCGCTTGTCCGCTATTTTTTCGGAAGCAGACCTGGCAACCCTAAAGTTTACAGGTACTTCTTTAACCACTAGAGCCTCAAACTTGCTGAAAAATCGGTATTTCGTGGCTGAATTGGATAAACCATGATTATCTTCGGATCCGTTTCCTTGGCTATTGGATCTGCGGCGATCTTAGAGCCCTGCTGTAGAGAGTATCGGACACGAATCAGTTTTGGTAATCTGGCTTCCTCTGGGTTTTAGCCGTAGAAAAGTATAAAAAACAAAAATTTGGATAAAGGCACGGTATGGGTTTGTTTTGCAACATATCCACCCCTTGCAGACTCTGCCCATAATCCTTTCCTGCTGTGATGTATTTGTTCTGCCTACTCTGCCCAGAAACATCCAACAAGATAACAACTACTTGCCCATCCTCTCAGTAGAAAGCTCCTTGTTTGCAAACACATGCTCATGTTATCTACTTCACATCTGTGCTTTATTTTATACTGGCTTTCCCTAATCTGATGTCTTTTTCGAATTTCTTGACACTGCAGGCTGTTGGTAGGTTTAATCCAGCATCTCCAAAGAGCATCAAACTGGTCTACATCTCTTTACCCTTGTTTCTCTTGCCTGCTAAAACTTCAGCTGTATGCATTTCTTCATGGAGTGATACATTTGTAGATTCAGTTTGCTCTGTGGATACTTGTTCCTGCTCACTTAGAGGATTGGGACTGCTGAACCAAGTAGAAACCACAATTCTCAACCCCTTTAACAGAAAGTACTCTAAGGATGTACCTTCTCTAAGTTTGTGCCCATTCTTCAAAAGTTGTGTGGCTGGATGCTAGTGTGTTATATATATATATTTCTTGGGAAGTAATCATGCTCAAATGGGTTCTTGAATAATGATTCAAAGGATCATATGGCACATGTGTCTAGGATTTACTTTTTAAAAACTCCCTAGACTATATAAGCAGAGATATTTAAGACACAACAGTCACCTTCTTGGTAAAAAGAAAAGAAAAAAATATTACACTGCAGTAATAAAACATTTACAACCCCACCCCTAAATTTGCAACTCAAAGAAAATTGAGTCTTCCTCCCATTCCCAGTACTGTTAATTTGTTTTTAAAGTTCTGCTCCTGCTTTGATAGTAACAGTTTGAAGTATCAACTTGCCAGGTTTTACAGAGTAGCTATCCTTGCACATATGACCTCTGTTACATAAATGGTAGGTTATCATTCAAATTGTTCAGCTCTACCTACGCATGCACAAGCAGCAGAGCAACTGGTTTCCTGTTTTTAACTTTCCATTTTCAATTAACTATAAAGACTTACTGTATACAGAGCTAAATTCATAGTAGCTAATATTCAGTTATAGTTAGGGAAAGTAAGGTTAATTTTAACAATGATTCTGGCTTCTTTCCCATCATACTTGAAACAACCTGAGGACCTAGTTTGAACATAGAACTATATAAATTCTGAGCACTTTTACCTCTTGTATGCCTTTCCAACAATACATTCTCCAGTCAGCCTGGAGAATGTGAGTTTCAGGTGGGAAAATGCATCAGGGTGTAATATATCAATTAAACCTAGTTGATAAATCTAGATTAAAGATATATGCAAAAAAAATTCAGCTGGGACAAGTCATTGGTAAAAGTTGATGGAGGCAATACAGGTAGTTTTTAGTTAATGACCACTCATTTGGCAGCCATTTAAATTTATGTTGGCACAAAATGAGTGGTATTTATGATGACCAGTCTTTGAAATTCTGGCCCGTGCAGCTTCCTCACAGTCACACAGCAATAGCAATAGCTAGCAAGAAGTTGGAAGTCACAACCAAATGAGGTCCTCACTAACAACCCATGATGAGTCACTTAATGACAGCAACCAGGGACTGCTGGAACTACCATGGCTAAGTGATGTCACATGACCTTGTACTTTATGATCACATCACTTAGCAATGGGAATTACAGTCCCAGTTATCATTGGTAAGCTAGGACTACCTTTATAAAACTATATGGCAAAAAGCAAGGCACAAATGAAGCCTACGTTTAGTATTTCTAAGTCCTGACAGTATATTGGCATGAATTATAGCATAAGAGAAGGTTAATAACACTAATTGGTTAATATAGTTCTGTTAAGATATATTTAGATAGATAGATAGATAGATAGATAGATAGATAGATAGATAGATAGATAGATAGATAGATAGATAGATAGATAGATAGATAGATAGATGTGTGTGCGTAGATAGATAGATAGATAGATAGATAGATAGATAGAGATAGATAGATAGATAGATAGATAGATAGATAGATAGATAGATAGATAGATAGATAGATAGCTGAACACACACACACGCACACACATATAAATTTAGATTTTGCTGACAAAGAGTTAAAGTTTTGCAAGGCAAAAGCTATCATAACAGTAGACCAGGTGCTCTACTCAGACCGGTTTCACCGGAAAACACTATATATATATAATTGTGTCTATTGGAGTATTTCATATGATTTATTTGGGCATAAAGTTTAGGGAATATTTTGCACAGATACATAAAATAATTACTTCCTGTGTATGTATATGGAGTTTTCTATCCAAAGTGTACTTTTCAGATAATTTAAAATGGCTCTAACCTTTCTGGTGCTTTACCCTCAAAATCTCCCACCAGTGTGAATGATGCTAAACAAATGAAATGTGGGCTCTATGTAAACCATGCTCTAAATATATTTAAAATTATGCCATGAGACTAATTTCTTGAAAACTATACTCTTCCCCCCCTTTTTTTTCCTTAACTTTTATAGGCTGAATTAACAATATTGAGATTTCTTTTACAGGAATCTTCCTTCTTCTAATGCACTTAAGTATTGGGACTGCTCTGAAGATCACCTTAAACTACTCTTAGGTGATTTTTGTTGTGGACCCTGGTATACATTTGTTAGAATGTCTTGACACACAAGGTGTAACTCGGGTACAAGTTTCCTGGTGTTTACTGAAATTAGATGGCTCCAAATCCTTTCCACAAAACTGAAATAATTAAGAAACTTGGTTAAAAGCAGGTGATTTTAAAGAGAGGTGTGTCCTATGACTGAGTTTAAAAACTAAAGTTTTTTAAAGCTTCAATTTACCCGTTGCTTATCAACCATTCAAAGTTATAAAAGACCCCCCCAAAGGTACTTATGACCCAATTCCAAAGTTCCATTTTCCCCCGCCCCCCCCAGTCACATGACTACATTTTGGGCATTCAGCAACAGCCCCACATGTGCAGCTGTCTGCAGCATCTCATGGTCATGTGATCATGCTTTTCAACGTTCCCCCCCCCCAAAAGGTATCTATTTCCAGTTTTGGGCAAAAATGCCCCATAATTAACCACGACCTTGCTTAATGACCATGGATTTACTTAACCGTGGTAATTCACTTAACAACTGCCACAAAAAAGATTGTAAAATCGGGACGGTAATGTGGTTGCCCCACTTTACAATCATTCTTTTTCGCCGAGCCCTGAAGGCCCATCTATTCCGTGCGGCCGGCCTGGCATAGTTTGATTATGTTTCAGTGGGGGGTTTTTTACGGGTGTATTTTTAGAACAGGCCTGTTATTTAATTCGATTTTAAAACAAACTATTTATTTATTATTGTGGTTTTTAGTATCGCCTGTTCACCGCCCTGAGTCCCGCAAGGGAGATAGGGCGGTATATAAATTTAATAAATAAAATAAAATAAATAAATTCTAACTTGCGAGCATAATGGGCAGGCTCCATTATGGCCATGTTGAGGACTACCTATATATCTAAAGTGGAAATATCTAATATGAAGGTTCAAAGAAACATCCCAAAATAGATCAGATTTCTGCATTTTAGGCCACAATTTTAACATTGGATTCGCCATTTATAGAATGCGTTCTCTCTCTTTTTGGTTTGATTTTGGGATCTGCCAAAACAAAACAAAGAATGCTCTTTTACAAAAAGAATTCTATCCTCAGAACGTTGTGCTTCTGAACTGGCTTTCCCAGATGTGAGCAAGGTATGCTGCTTCACTTCAAGTGTTGCCCAGCATTTCAGCCCACTCATCTCCAA